GGTATTCTTTTATATATAAGACGGTCAAGACGTGACGGCAATAATGTAATGTGTGTGTATAGACAGTGAGTAATTGAACTGCAGTCAGAGAGCACGAGAGACGTCACAGCGTTTATTTAGCGCGATTGTTGAAGTTGAATGTATCGGTAAAGTTATATTCGGAAAGAATAAACCAGTTTTTATTAAGTAAGGACTTGTGTCGTTAAAGTTTCGTCGCAAAGTTAATTAACAAACGGAGACGTAACACTATTTTAGATTTATTGTCAACTTCAAATACAGAAATGATTGAGAGGGTGGAAATTGGGGAACATCTGGGTGCAAGTGATCATTGCTTTATTAGGTTCAATGTTTTGCTGCATATGGAGATAAGGAATAATGATATTTTGCTAACAAATTTCAAAACAAATTTTGAAGGGATGGAACAAGAATTATTTGTTAATTGGGCACCTAAGTTATTTGGAGACAATGATCAGATGTTGAAAATTTTTAAGGATAAATTTTTAAATATTCAAGGTAAACATATTCCTTATAGAAATAAAAGGCTAGCAGCAAGTAAAAAACCAGGTTAGCTTACAAATATTATAAGAATTAAAATTAAATAAAAGCATCATAAATTTAAAACATTTAAATTGACTGGTAGGACAAAAGATTTAGAAGATTAAGAAAGTTGGTGAAACAGGAAATTAAGACATCAAAAAGGATGTATGAAAAAAGGTTGGCTGAAAATGTAAAAGGTAACAGTGGGGATTTCTTTAAATGCACTAAAGGTAACCAAAATGTTAGGATGGGGATAGGACCCATGAGGGATGATAAAGGAATGCTCGTATCTGATGATTATGAGATGGCTGGGTTATTTTCTTTTCTTTTTTCTTCAGTTTTACCTAATGAAGATTTGAGCAGTATTCCACATCATGAATAGTTGATAGATGGAAACAAAACCGAACAAGATGACTGCTTTAATTCTGAGCTGGTTAAGAAAAAAATGGAAAGTTTAAAGAATGATAAGGCTCCTGGGTCAAGTAATATTTCCCCAATGGTTTAGAAGGGGGTTAAAAGATTGGACATGGGAGCCACTTGCTACTATTTTTTTTTTCAATCCTTGAATGGTGGGCAGGTACCACAGGATTGGAAGTTAGCTAATGTGACTCTTCTTTTCAAGGGTGGTGATAAAGATTGCCCTAGTAATAATAGACCCATTAGACTTACATCAGTTCTGGGAAATGTTTTGGAAAGTCTGATAAAAGATGCTTTACAAAGTCATTTAACAAAGTTTAGAATTTTATTGGATAGTCAACATGGTTTCACTAAGGGAAAATCTTGCCTTACAAATCTTTTAACATTCGTTGGAAAGGTTACTGCTCATGTAGATGAGGGTAAGAGTGTAGATTTGATGTATCTGGATTTTCAGAAAGCATTTGACAAGGTGCCACATAAAAAGGCTTTTAAAAATTATCTCTATAGGTATGGGGGATAAGTTAGCAAGTTGGATGGAACAAAGCAGAGGGTTGTTATAAATGGGGTTCAGTCAAACTAGATTAATGTCAGAAATGGGGTACCTCAGGGCTTAGTCTTAGGACCTTTGCTCTTTTTGATTTACATTAATGACATAGATGAAGGAATAGTCAATAAATTACTTAAATTTGTTGATGATATTAAGGTCTTGAGTGTTGCTAGCTGTGAAGAGGATGCTGCTGATTTACAAAAAGATTTAGATCATTTAGTGAGTTGGGCAAATAAATGGCAGGTGGGTTTTAATTATAATAAATGCAAGATAATGCATGTGGGTTATCATAATTTGAATTATAAGTATAATTTGGATGGGAATAACCTTAACAGTGTTATGAAAGAAAGGGATCTTGGTGTAATAGTTGATCATTCTTTAAAGCCACCCAAGCAGTGTGCTGTTGCTAGTGGTAGGGCAAATAGGATTTTAGGTTGTATCTACAGAAATATTGAATACGGGTATAAAGAGGTTATAATTTCATTGTATAAGTCACTGGTTAGGTCACATTTGGAATATTGCATTCAGTCTTGGGTTCCTTACTTTAGGAAAGACATTGAATTGTTGGAAAGAGTTCAGAGAAGGGTTACTAGAATGGTGCCTGGGATGGAGGGGTTGTCATACGAGGAAAGATTGAAATCTCTCAAATTCTTTTCTCTGGAAAAAAGAAGAGTTAGGGGGGGACCTGATTGTAAAGGGAATTGATAGTGTTGATTAATCATCTTTTTTTTTCATACTTAATAGTGGGACTAGGGGACACAATTATAAATTTTGGCAGGGTAGGAGTCATTTTCAGCTAAGACAGTTGTATTTTTTAACAGGGTTGTTTGGTATTTGGAATGGGTTGTTTTTGGATGTTGTGGAGGCAATAAATTTAAGTGAGTTTAAGAAAAAGCTTGATAAGTATATGAATGATAAGGGCTGGCTTTAAATTTTTTTAAATTTATTTATTAATAGTTTTAGTTTAGCTTAAAGGATGGAACAGCCAAGAGGGAACAATAGGTTCCATGTTATTCCAAAATGTTGTGTTATGTTAAATCCAACAAGTAAACATATACGTAATTTGGTGAGGACCTATTTAACTATACTTGCAATGTCATTCTTGTCAAAGTGAAGACATGCAAATGAAGTGCATACTGAAACATGTTTGTTTGTTTGTAGTTAAGCACAAAGCTACACAATGGGCTATCTGTGCTCTTCCCACCATGGGTATCAAAACCCAGTTTCTAGTGTTGTAAGTCCGCAGACATACCGCTGTGCCACTGGGGGGGGACTGAGACATGTTATAATAAAATGATTTTCTTTTTTTAAAATTTCAGTATTTGTGTAGAATGGATATTAAAATTTTGGAAATCTGACTCATTAAAGTAAAACATTAAGGTTTTGTGTATAATTACATGTTTGTTTTACATGGGAAAACTTTAAAAAGATTGTTTGTAAACTGAACTTATTTTTTCTAAATGGATAACTTTTCGAAAAAAAAACAAGCAGAATTGTGTGTGTATAAAGTACATTGAAGAAATGCCCACTATTTCTTTTGAAATAAAACTACAGCAATAAATTAATATTAAAACTTCTTGTGAAATGATTGTCTTTCTGCTTATCAAACTCCACTATGAATATGAATAGTGTGTGAGAACAAGTCTTCTTCATTACCAGGAACTTCTACCACTTGTATTTTCATTTCATCTGCCATCTTCTACAATGTCACCACCACCAGACCTTTCATCCCAAGATCTTCTTCTTATTCAACATAATTATGCTTTTACTGTATCAATTAGAACTTGGCATTGTGATAGTTTTGGTGTAGTCATCGTTAAAGGTTGCCAAAAAGATTTTGCTCTCATCAGACAAGGATTAACCATCCTTATGGACTACTTGACTGGTAGTAAAAATGTAAGTTTATATCCCTATTTTCAAAAATTCCCCCTCCTCTCACTAAAAATATTTAGAAATAATGAACTTCATTTCATCCTGTAACTTAAAAGTATTTTGTATGGGTATGTACTTTTTTTGTTGTTGTTTTCTAAAGCAAAACATGATTTTTATCATGTAAATGCTTTAGTTGTGTAGTGTAATTTATTCAAATAGAGCAACTCATTAGTATCATTGTAGCAGCTTATTTGTATTAATATATATTGATTCTGTTATCAACTACAAAGAAACTTTATATCTTCAATATGTTATATAAAAAAACGAATTTCAACAAATAAAATCTATCAAGTTCAACCAACGAGTTTTCTGTAGATATTGAAATTGTGATTCACAAATATTAAAGTATGCATGAAATTACTATTCTGAATGAAAAGATGTGTTTATTTGTCATTTTATAGACAATGCTTCCAGTAAATTTAAACATAGAAATATCTCCACATCATCATGTTTTTGTCATGGGAAAGGACAAGATAAATATGAACATGATCATGCAGAAAACAGGAGTACTCATAACATTTCCTGATTCCAATGATACTGTATGTGAATCAACAGAAAAGTTTGTTACCCCAGTACAGCATGCCTCTTCTGTTACTATCACTGGCTATGTTGATGCTGTGTATTTAGCCTGGCAAGAGTTGATGGTAAACTAAATTAGATTCAGTTATTTAAGGACAAACTTTGATTAAATTACTACTTTAAATAATTAAAGATGAAGATAAACAACAAAAATAGCAAAATTAAAGTGTTATGAAATTGTGATGAACAACAATGTAACGTGTGGCTCAGTGGTTGGTGAACATAACAGAGATTGTCCATTGTGTAGCTTTGTGCTTAACTACAAACAAACAAATTTGTTTGAAACTTTAATCAAACCTAGGACCTTTTGTGGCAACATAGTTCTTTAGCAAAATCTAAGTTATCTAAAATATTCATTGCAAATTGTTAATATTTTCACAAAAAATTATAATAAGAAAATAATTTTTCATTTCATTTTAAATTAAAATATATCTTATAATCAATTTATTACACAATGTAGATTTAGAAGTTAAAAAAAATTATATACATGGATTAATAATTTGGAAGAATTGGAAGATGTTGAATGCATGGTTTGTATCAAAGTAATACCATTTTCATTAAAGTTACTATTTCTTAAATAAAACAAAGATGGAAACTCCAAAAGACTAAAATGATCCATGTGTTTAAGTATTGGATAAATGCACATTAACCAATGAAGTTGTTTTCAATTTTTGTCAGGGTCATCTTCCACTGGTCTTAATGTTTGATCTAAAAGATGACCAAGAACTAAACACAGGTACTACAGCTTTTAAAAAGTTTTGAGTTCTTGTACAAGTAGGTTATTTTTTATGCACTAAATATAAGTTCAGATTTAAATTAGTAAAAGAAAATTAATAAAACATTTAATTGTGTATTTTTTGTTGTAATATTTGCATTTATGTGTTAGTACTGATAGAAGACAGATTATTTCCTGTTATAACTAATAATGTCAATGGCTAGTATTATTAAAATAATAGTCATTGTGATAGCATAAATATACACAAATTGGGTTTGGCTCTACCTAAAAGATGTATTTTAGACCTACCCCTAAGCACTTGCATGTATTTTTGCATTCTTCTTAAGTAAGTGTTCTTCCTTGTTCCAAAAACAATGTAGTTTTGAATTTGTTAAAAACAAGTCTGTAGCCAGGTCTGGAAGTGGGAGGTTCTTTTTGGTCCAATATGGAACTTGTTTCATGTGTAGCTTTAGTGTCTAGGGATGAAAACAATTTCTGAAATATGTAACGATTCCTTTATTATTGCTGCAAATAAACATTTCTAGTAAATTTCCTCTGATAAGTATGAAAATGATATTTCTGCATATATGCACAGTGTTACAAAAGCAATTATATAAAAAAAAATGTTAATAGGTGAGTGTAACTCTGGTGGGAGTAGGGGGGTTCGTCGCACCTCCAAACCCCCCCTGGCTATGGGCTTGGTTTAAATATTTTTGTAAGATACAAATAGTTATCTTTCTTGATTAAAATCATCAGAGTACTTTCTTCTCATTCCATATTCTTAAAAAGTTCTGAAAAAATTAGGGAAGAGGATATTGTAATGTTATTATTTGTGATTTTTATAATGTTTTATTTGCAAATGACTTTAACCTCATTACAGAAAGCAAAGAGAGTAATAATAATAATAATTAAAAGAAAAGGTTGAACATTACTTTGTTTTATTTTTTGAGATGTCTGACTGTTTCTTCTCTTAAAAAGTAATACTGTAATTTTATTTGAAAACCAATTTCATGCTTGATATTGATGCAGCACTTATTCATCAACTCATGGAACTCCTAAAGGTTAAAGTTATCATTAGACCCAAGCCAAAACAGAATAGTAAGGTGAGCCTACTTGTATAATTAAATATTTTTTTATATATTGGCTGGTTTACTGTGTTGCTGAGGGAACATTGCTTGCAGCTCATATTTTAATGCTCTTTTGCTTAAGCATTGTTTAAACCACATTTTTGAATCTTATACTTACCATTATAGAAGATTTTATACACTGTATTCAGGTAATAAAGGACTAAAATATGCATAAATTAACTAATTAACTGGATCTTCAATTTATATTTGCAAACATAAAAAAATTAAAGATTTAATTCTACTTCTACTTAGGTTGTTTGGTTGATTTCTAATGTAATATTGAAATAACATTAATCTTTTACAAAGACATTCATGCCTTTAACTCCTTGTTGTTAATTCATTTTTTTCTAGACTGTTATTGTACATGGAGCTGAGAAAGACTCAAGAGCTCTTTTTGAAGTTAGAAGACAACTGCTTGGATTAGATGAATCAGCTGTACCACTGTGTTGTGACAAACACTTCGTTTCTAGAGTACATCCTATTTTGTTGTCTTCATTGGCCATGAATGGACAAATGATGCATTTTGAAGACAAACTTAGAGACAGTAGCAGATCAGCATTTAGTATGTTCATAATAAGTAGACCAATAGATGTGTCCTTTAAATTAATGGTATAAATATGAATAAGATTTGCTATTTTGTTATACAACAGTCTTAGTCTTATTGATCTGAGTAAAATATTACATTTAGTATGTGTGTTTGCAAATGAGGTGTGTTTTTAGTAAATGAACTGTATGGAATGGCCATTAGCTTCAAAAGCGTTGTTGATTAGTTGCAATTATTGTTTCATGTTTTGATAATTACATTTTTTTTATGCTCTCTCTTGATTGGATATAAATAGTTTGGATCTATAGTGTTTTGGTAGCTTCAAGTATCTGCAAGATGCAGTTTTCAGAAATTTTATGTAGAGATTAATTTTGAACATGGACGGCAAAGGTGATACAAGACACAAGTGAACAAATAAAGAAAATCTTTATTAATGCGTAATGTAGCTTGCTGGCCAACAAGTAGTTGGACATTAAGTGACTGACTACTGGGGCAGAGGGCAGCATAGAAAACATGCAGATCCATACAGGATAGAAATAAATTAAGATACCACATCATTAAGTCAAACCAAGGTCCTAGTGCTGTGTCACACAATTTTTGGATTAGTCAAGGTCATTCTAATATACCTATATTCAAGGGAGATCCCCCCCATCCCAAACTCATACAAATATTTGTACCACTCCTTGGGATAAGTATGATCTTTCTCCAGGATAGCACAATACAGGAACAGGGCCAAGCAAGTATATGCCTTATAGAAAAATCATTGTAGCATGTAACCAACATCTTAGGTGGGGCATTAGTGCAAGAATATGATCTTCCTATACCCAGTTTACAAGGGTATTGTAACTGAATTCGTAACTCCTACATGAAAATTTAGAAGAAAAAACCTGAGTATGCTGAAATAAAAATACATGAACTAGACATGAAAGGGTAAAATATTGATTGGAGAACATGAGTGGACATCCTGTAGGACTCTGGAGTAAGATATTGTATGTTCCAAAAATTCTCTGAAGATGACAGCAGATTAACACCTGAAATATAGGTTATAAATTAATAAGTAATTGTATATAATAAAAAGTAAGTAATTATTATGAGACTTGGGTAATCATATAGGCTACTAACCATGGAAACGATTAATAGCTGCTTGCCACAATCCTACTGTAAGAACTTAATGTACCTGTTTGGTTTTTGTAATTACACATCTTCTGTATTTATTTCAATACGTGTGTGTGTGTGTGTCTGTGATTATACTCACCAGTTTTTGATTTTCTAATTTATAAAACTTTAATATTATTACTCCATGATTACTATAATTATGAAAGAAACTAGCTATTAGATTACAAATGTGGATTTGTTTTCTTAAATCTTTAAATATTATTTTGTTTTATATGTATAACAACCAACATGTTTTTTTTTCCAGAACGAGTTCTTGAATTAGCTTTTTCCAGCATTCCAATAAGTTCTCTATTTCTTTTGAACAACTTGGAAAATCTCCAACTTCCTTTAAGCTCATCTTTTCTACCTATGGTGACATCCAGCCCAACTCAACAGGCAGCAGCATCTCTCTCAAAAAGCTCTAATTCAACCATGTATGACAGCTATATCAACTCTTGCATAAATCCAAACCCTGTTCCTAAAAATGAGTTTGGATTACATCTTCATGAATCTTTATTCTCAGGGACATTTGATCAAGGTTAATTATTACTTGGATAATCTCATAGATATAAAATAGAATCATTACTCAGATACTCACACTGATGTAGCATAAAAGCTTATTATAGCATTACTCTGATATTTGCATTGATGTAATATAAAGGCATATTACAGCTTTCCTCTAGAATCTGCATAGAGGTGACATAAAAGCTACTTTATTGTAGCATTACTCTGATATTTGCATTGATGTAATATAAAGGCATATTACAGCTTTCCTCTAGAATCTGCATAGAGGTGAAATAAAAGATACTTTATTGCAGCATTAATCTGATATTCACATTGATATAATATAAAGGAATATTACAACTTTCCTCTGAAATCTGCATGGAGGTAAAATAAAAGCTAAATTATATTCAACATTACTCTGATAGTTGCATGGTGGTAACATAAAAGCTTATTGCAACATTACTGTGATAGTCACATGGACATAACATGAAAATTTCTTACAACTACTCTGACAGCCACATTGATGTAGCATGAAAGCTTATTACACCACCACTCTGATAGTTACACAGGCATAACATGAAAGCTTATTTAGCATTACTCTGATTAGTTGAATCATCTAACATAAAAGTTTATTATAGCTTTACTTTGATAGTTGCATTGATGTAACATAAAAGCTTATTACAGCATTACTTTGATTGTTTGTTTTAAGTTAAGCATAAAGCTACACTACGGGTTATCTGTGCTCCGGCCACCACGGGTATCGAAACCCGGTTTCTGGCCTTGTAAGTCCACAGACATACCACTGTGCCACTGGAGGGCCATTACTTTGATAGTCACATTAATGTAACTTAAAAGCTTATTACAGCATTACTCTGATAGTTGTATGGATATAATAAAGCCTATTACCAATGTCTAAGAATATCTTAAAAATGCATAAAAAGGTTTTAAAGTGTTTCAGTATGAGAAATTTCATGATTTGGTAGGAAATTGGTGAACAATAAAAAAAATAAAAAAGCAAGCAATTACAAGAGCTCCTTATAAAATTGATAAGTGAAATAAACTATATGATTTCATTTATACCAGCAGCTGCTTGTTGAAACAATTCAATGATAATTTTCATAAATATAGTGATGAATAAATATAAAATGTTCAGTCAACTCAATCCTTTGTATCAGAGCATATATGCCCCATGGCTACTTAGCAGATCTGAGAACTCTAGTACGCTATATGCACCATTTGCATCAAAACCTGAACATTTTCGCCAAAAATGCATTGAATTCAGTGTCCTTTGCTTAAAAACAAACAAAATGCAATTTTCGTTATTGAAATAACACAGAAATGACAAAAGAGAGTTGTAAATGGCCCACTAGACAATCATATTGATTTGTTTTTGCTGGATGCCAATGTTCCTTGTTATTTTACAAAGCACAAGAAAAGACCACTACCGAAGTTAGCACTTTTCGATAGTTCTCATTTCTATAAGACATACCGAAGAAGAAATATTCAATTTAAATAAATATATTTGAGATAGTACAATAAAATCATGCACATATATAATACCAACATGGAAAAAATATATAAACAAACAGAACAACAACAAATATATACACAAACACATTCCTCTCTTTATGCATTTTATCTTTTCATGCTCCTGTCTTTGAAATACCTCTTTCAATCAGTCAACAGAGGATGTCCCATTTTTTTCCTGATATTACCTCACAAAATAAAATGTTTTTGTTCTTAATAAATTTTTTCTCACATTGTCTGTTCAACTCGTATGAAGACTGATGGATTGATGTTAATATCAATATGAAACTTTAAGAATTGCAAAAAAATGAAGAATTTTCCTTTAATGTACTCTTGAAAAAAAAAATTTTGATATGTAATTTTTTTTACTTCTATTATTAACAGTTCAGGAGATACAAAATGTGGCAGACAGACATTTGACTATTATATACAAGTTTCAATGGAGTATAATTTAAGTTCAGTTGTGAAGCAGTTAACATAAATCAAACTTTTGTTGTTGTTTTTTTATTAAATATTGAGAAATAAAAACTTTAGTAGTATCATAAAATTTATATTCAAAATTATAACATATAGAATAATATGTAAAAGTGGGAAAGCAAAATGTAAGGTTAACAGAAGTGAATATGTATATTAAAATAGGTATTCAGACATTGTATGCCTTTACCATTTATTTTATTCAGTTAAAATGATTTGTGCATTTCATTTTAACAGGTGTGAACCCTAATTTTAGCTAAAATTTTAATTTTTAGTGCCATCCATTTATGGAAATATCAGTTGTGATAAAAGTAGTACATTGTCTACTCCAACACTGATCCCTGATGAGTTCCTTGCCTCTGAAATTAAAAATCTATGTGTTGATGGAGGCCATAATAAGGAAAGTGCAACAGGAAAAGGTGAATAAAGAACCTTTTTTTTTAATGTGAATAATTTTTATATTTCAGTAGTTGACCTCAAATGTGATTATTTCAGGAATGGTCAATATATTATTTCACTTTGCTTATGACATTAAAGTTTTGAGTGTTGCTAGCAGTGAGAAGGATAATCTCTATAGGTGTGGAGGGATAGGTTGGCTTATTGAATAGAAAAGTAGCTGGATGGAAGGAAGCAAAAAGTTGTTATAAATGGAGTTCAGTGAAACTGGACTAATGTCGTGTTAGGGCCTTTGCATTTTTTGATTTACATCAATGACAGAGATGAAGGAATGGGTCAATATATTATTTAAATTTCTTTATGACATTAAAGTTTTGGGTGTTGTTGGCTATGAGAAGGATATTACTGCCTTATAAAAAGACTTGGAGTATTTGATGAGTTGGGCAAATAAATGTCAGATGGCTTTTAATTATAATAAGTGTCAGATAATGCTTGGATATCACAATATGAATTACGAATTTAATTTTGATGGGATATCCTTAACAGTGCTATAAAAAGCCATCTATGTAATGTGCTGTTACTAGTGGCAGGGCAAATAGAATTTTATGCTGTTTATACAGAAATATTGAATACAAAACTAACAAAGTTATTATGTCATTGGTTAAGTCACATTTGGATTACTATGCTCAGTCTTGGCTCCTTACCATAGAAAGGGGATAGAATTATTGGAGAGGGCTCGGAGGATGGCTACTAAGATGTACCTGGGATGGAAGTGTTATCATATTAAGATAGGTTAAGGTTACTGAATTTGTTTTCTCTTGAAAAAGAAGAGTTAGAGGGAATCTGATTGATTGTTAATGGAATTGATAGTGTTGATGCAGCATCTTTTTTCATATTTAATGGTGAGAATGGTAAGACTAGGGGACGCAAATATCAATTTTGGCAGAAAATAAGTTATCTTCAGCTAAGATAGCTGTATTCTTCTAACAGAGTGGTTGTGTCTGGAATGGGTTGCCTTTGAATGTGGTGAATGCAGTCAATGTTATGTTATGTTAAGCAGTTGTTTTTATAGTACTGAGAAAATATAATAGTAATAATTATGTTAACATCAGGTTTTATTGGTTATGCTTCTTTGTGGCAAATAAAAAATAACTTGTAGGAATGATGTTATTTTATAAGTTTAATATGGTAGTTTTTGTTTTTTTACGTGCAGCATTATTTAATTTGAGAAACTGGTCAGACATTTCAGAAGATTGTGGGCATGTATCGGAAAGAAGTGTTTTTACAGAAAACAAGAGTAGAGGCTTTGGACTTGAGGAGTCTTCTTCAAATGAAAAACTTTTTTCCCACATCTCAGAAGCTGAATCACTTACAAGATCTTCAGTGCAAAGGTTATTAGGAACAATGATTGATTTGTATGGTAGTACATAAAGTAATTTGCTAGCATGTGTAATTAATCATTAACATCACTGACTGAAAGATCCAAAGTTATAAAATGCTGAAACATGATGATACTTGAAATTTCATATTCATTTATTTCCATTGTGGAATAGTTTTGTATCTCCCAAGTACACATTATGGGTCTTATCATTTATAGGTTTGTGACCTTTTCACTTGATTCTAATTGTTCTTATAGTAGAAAACACATGTATTTGTGTGTTTAGCTACATGTGTTGATATGTAGTGCCTACTGATGTACAAGTTGAAATAATTTTTCTTATTACATATCATTAATTAAGTTTTACTTTTAATTATTATTTATATAAATCAACTCTAGAAATCAGTTATAGCATAACATACATTCTCAACCTTATAGTGCATTTTATGTAATGGTTCAGATGAAAAGTAGTGTGACCTTATCATTGATAACCCTACTTCCTGTTGAGTACTTTGGAAATTCTAAGTTCAAATAACACCCTAGATGTATTTTGCTTTTTTCATGTAACATCTACATCACAAAATAAATGCTAAAGTTGTGGGAAATCCTTGTTGTTACAGTAAAAGAGCAGTGTATAACTAAGATATAAAAAAGATGAACTTGTATTTTACTTCTAATTACACTGCTTGGCTGATAAATCATAACTTTACAATTGTTTGGGTAAACTAGATTATAAAGTCTCATTCAAAGACTTTTGTGAAATTTATTTTATAAAACAGATACTGTGGTATTTGTAAAAATCCTGTTTTCTACTTTGAGTTTGTTGATCATGATCTATGTATTATTAGTTTGAGGTTGTCATATAGAGTTGTTGTGTTAACTGTAATGTTTAAGTTAAATGTTACTTCTAATAAAATAACTAAAGGGACAAATAGACTATGTGGGATTTTAAGCCCTAATAACTGAGTTGAGTATTTGTTGATAAGCTCAATGCCTTACATTCATGTTAATTGAGGACAGATATCAGTTAATGTTTATAATAATCTTAATAATTGTCTTGGAATATTTTGTCATTCATTTCCAACAGTGACAGCAAGTTTGATGCTACAAGTTATTTAAGAGAGAAGATTGTAGGTACTGTAGGATGTGAGAGGAAAAGTCCAATGGATTCCTCTCTGTTTGATTATGAAGAAGGGAAATTACTTGCTTCTAAAGGTTAGTTTAATTTTGCATACATTGATAAAATCTTAGACTTTATCAACTAATAAGTTTTAGTAACTTAGAGTTTTTCATTAAAGTTTATATATGTTTTCATAATAATATACTTTGTAACTGCTAAAATAGAAGCATTTTGATTATTCCATATTCTGTTTTTATTATTCTTCAAATTTTGGGAAATGAGGCCCCCTCTTATATGAGTAAGTTTTAACTACATAAAGAAAGATTTTTGTTTATATGTTTCCTTGATTGAGGAAATTCTGAGCTTACATGATATTGAAGTATTAGTCTCAATGAAATTATTGCTAGAAAATTGATGTTTATGTAAAACCAAAGTTTCTAAGAAACAATATTTAGTTGTAAATCAACTTTGGATTCCACAAATGCTTGTTGTAACTGTTTATTGTATGCCTATTATTAACTTCTTGTCTTCTTAATGACAGTAATACAGAAGCCACTGAACTCAGTGACTCGAATACCAACCAATATATGGGCTGGCTTTGGATTCTCCAAGTCGATGCCAGAGTTTGTCATAAAAGAGAAGTGGCAGACACATTTAAATCAACCTTCTGTTCCTGAAACAATACAGGTATGGATTTTATATGTGTTATAGTAAGTCAAATAAACAGTTATTAAACTGGACCAAACTTATATATTACAATTAGAAGCTGTTTGAAAAGTGGAAAATGGAATTTCTTTTCTTTTTTTAAACTGGCTTCATATTAGCAGTTGTGCAAATCATTATTTCTTCTCATTTTCAATTTTATTTATGCTAAAAACTTATAAGTAATCACTGAAACATCTCATTCTGACATCTGATGAGCTATACTTGATATACTTCTAGGTATTATCAGTATATATTGTAACTATGTCTAAAGTGTTATAAACAAGGTTATCAACAAAACCAAGTTTCAAAAACATCTTAATTTTCATACAACAGAATTTAGCTGCTTGTAATTCTATAAGCGTAATTGATCAAAATAATTAATAAAGTAATCTACAAATCCACAGAAACAGTTACTAAAATAATCAAGCATGTAATACACACAAAAAACGTTGGTTTACAATATACACTATCTTGAAAACTGCATTGTTGAATGCATACTAATTACTGTTTCACAAAAATAAAATAAACTGATTAGCATGTGAAAGTTTAATTTGTATACATTAACTTTGTCCACTGGACTATAAATATGTTTTATAAAAAACAAAGAAGAAGAAAATGGGTTTTTGAACAGCATTATAAATATATGTTTAGATATATCATTTACTACATCAAAAAAGGTAAACCTGGCCCATATTAAGGATTTTGTAAATGGGGGGGGGGCTAATTTTCTCGGGGGACCACTCATTGTTTACTCTAATTCTGGAACCTGGCAATTTTAACATAGGAATTGAAAATATGGATATTAAGGTAATTAAAAATGAAAAAAGAAATATATATTGTGAACATGGTGATTAAAGAAATACATTATAATGGTACTCATAATGTAGGTCAACAGAATACGTTTTAAAGAGGTATGATGCTTGGAACAAAATGATGAAATATCATGAAATGTAAAATTCGTAACAACCTGCACTTATAAATGAGGAATTGCTGTTAAATGACTGATAGGTTGTAAATCAGTGTTTGCATGGACAGAGTAAATAATGTAATTTCTTTGGTTGATACGATTTGATTACAATACTTATACTGTAGCAACACATAAAATTAGTAAATTATATCAAGTTTGTGATAATGACCCATAATATACAAAGATTTATGTTAAACAAGTATCTAAACACACTAAAAATTATTAAATATTTTGTATGATATTTATCAGGGGCTCTTGCCCATTTACTACCAAGAGACCCTATTGTGGATTTAGTAATTGAGGGGCTTCTCTTATTGATTTACTATCTGAGACCCTTCTTGTCTATTTAATATCAAGGGGCTTCTCTGTAGGTTTAATATCATTGGACAAAAAAAAAAAGACCTCATTTACCAAAAAGGATGAAGCACTCTTAGATATACAGGAATGTTTAAGTTTAATGCAAGTTTTATGAATTAGATAGTTTATATAGTGCAAGTGTTAAACTTAGTTATCTTTAGAAGCAATTGTTTATTGCAAGTTTGTTTATGTAACTGTTTATGAATCGTACCTTGTGTATTTCACTAGTTAAGAATTGGTGATTGTTATATTATTGCATAATGTTAAGAGAACCTTCTGAGTTTTTCTTGTTGTTATAATTGAGTGTTATTACATCATAATATCTAGTAATGTTTGTAATGTTCTACAACCTGTGTTGGTTATAAATATGCATCAAAAATGTAGTTCGACTGATAGATCTAGACTGCATGATTGTATCCATAGAGAGCATATAGTAGTGATTTTTAAAGGGAAATTATCACAGATTGTATTGTAACAACAGAGTAAAGAAGAAATAATTTGTCTTTTCAATTGGGTTCTAAAGTAACTGAACCAGCCTGTGTGGGCTTTGATGAAAAAGGGAAAAATTTTTTATAGCTCTGGATACCAATGTGTAACGAACATTTGTAAATATGTTTGACTTGTTTTAATATAGTATTTTAAAAAAAGTGGACTGTGTGCTGTTTAGTTAATGTTGAAATTTATTGCCAACAAGTCACAGACACCTACTATAAAGAATCTGGCCCATGCATACATAATACCATAATACATACATGTCTCACTGTGGCTATGGCACTGTTATTATACATTTTTATGCTTGTAAAATGCTTGCTGTTATTTTTCTATCTTAAGTGAGATTTTTGGATTCTGCTATTCAGCTTATAATGACCCTTATGATGATAACTAGAGGCCCTTCCCTGTCTGTCATTAAATGAGCCCTTGACTATCTGTAGAGGTGCTGGCCTTTACTATTATTAAAGTATTTTAGTTAATTTTTTACATTGAATTTTATTGTGTAGGCCACTCATTCCTCAACTATTCTTTAGTTTCTACTAAATCAAATTTTTTGTTGATAGGGTGATATTTATCAGAAAGAGTTGGATGGTTATTTCATCTATTAATACAAATTTTATTACCAAAGGGTCCCTCATTGAAAAAAAAGGGGGTACTACTGCACCCAACTCACCCTCCTTCTGATGGTCCTTGAAACTAACTTGTTATATGAAATGATAGTTTTGTTTCTGGCAAAGGAATGTTGTACACTATCCGGTTCAAAGTTTTTGATGATACAGAGGCATTGGAACCAGGGATACTGTAGCACCCTCACTTTTACATATTTGATTACATTATATAACAACCGTAAATTATATTAGAATATTAATTTTATGGGGAGCATGCCCCCAGACCCCCCTAGATTGAGCTGCCGTTGGCAGCACAGGAGCTGCTTTTAGCAGCACTCCTTATACTTTCAATCTCTCGTTGTAAAATCTGCATGTCTAACCAAGCACCTCCACTTTGCATCTCCTTCCTACACTGCTGTGATAGACAAGGAAAAATCCAAAGAAATAGAGTAGTTTTTTTAAATAAGATTTCATTGGCATATTATCTCATGTTTTAAATAACTTCCATATCTTAACTTGAATAAAACTACAGTTACAACAAAGGAAAATTAATTTACAAAGGCACCTCTTAAAATTAAACATAGAATAACAGGAGATTTTCTTTTTTAAGAATTAAAAAGCTGAAACCTAAGTTCATAAACTAAATTATTCTCTAAAGCCCATTGCATTAACATATTGGTACTTATTATCATATTTTGTCTCTTTTTTTTTTGACAAATTTTTATCAATAACATAACAGTAACAAATTCAGGTTAAAGATAGTTTTAAATTTTCCAGTACATTTGGGGCAAGAATAATGATTTTCATACAGTAAACATTAATGTTGAATCATTTTGCTAAATTGTGTGAATGTAAAAATACAGGAAACTCAGCAGTTTATCAATTTTAATTTTGTGTGATTGGTTTGTCATTAGAACACTGTATAACAGTTTAAATAACTTGTATGATTTTGTATAGAGTAACATTTTAAGACAATGATCTATTTCAAGTATAATTTACTTAATAGTTTTCAAATTAATTTAGTTTAGAATAATATTTATAAAGGTTCTAGAATTATTATTGAAGTTGCCATACATATATATGTTAACTTCATAACATTAAAATGAATTTTGACAATTGTTTAAAGCTTTATTATGTCTTATAATGTGTTAATTCTTAGTGTCTGTACTGGAAAGTATAATAATCACTGAATACCCACCAAAGTCAGCTGCAGCTCTTTTAATTAGCTGCAGAATGTACTCTTGTAATGAAAGCTTACTATATCTAGGTATACGAGTATTGCACATGGATCAAATACATGTACATAAACAATGTCTGCTTCTTACTTAAAATATGAAAACATTATTAAACTGTTTTATAACATATGTTTAAATTAAATGCAAATGTTTTATTTTTGTACATAGATTACCCATGAAATTAAAGTGTTTTCAATCAAACATAAACTAATAGTTATAATGAATCATCCATATATCTTGCAAATATATGTCACGAGGTTTCAAACCTTTAGAAACTTCTAAGGTCTAAATTTAACCTTTGTTACAGCCCTAATTTTTCTTTTGGCAACAGGAAACTGCCTCATTGGCTTGAGTGACTTAATCTTCACTATGTTAAACTCCTTTTTTTGTCATGCTGTTGAGTCATTTCTATGTATATTGAATGTGTGATCCAAAATATGATAACTAGAATACATTACCTAATATGTATTATAACATAGCATTTTGGGATAACAAGGGACCTATTGATTCATCTAGGCTGTCCCATCCTCTAAACTGAAGTAAAACTATTAAATAAAGAAAAACCCCTCATTGCCAGTCCTTAGCATCCACATAGTTATCAAACTTTCTTTTAAATTCACTTAGATTTACTGTCCACAACATCCATAGGCAATTTGTTCCAAAGGGCAACCATGCACCTTGTTAGAAAAATAAAACTGTCTTAGCTGAAAATGGCTTCTATCTTGCCAAAATTTATATTTGTGTGTCCCCTGGTAAAATGAGGTTTACTTTAAAAATAATTTCTAGACCTAAAACAAGTTAGAAATAAGTATCAACAAATGTTCAGCCATATGTGAAATATTAAAGCATTTGAGCTATTCACAAAATGTCCATATTCTCTTAAATTGCCTTAATCACAAATAAATTTTGCTATTTTTGTGGTATTATAGCTAAGACAATAACTTTGTACCTGCATTACTAATCAAAACCAACTGTTCATCTGGCATCTTTATCTCATACTTAAGTATTAATTAATACATTACTTTAGAAATATTAAAGGAACAAATCATAAAAGTAACATTTGCAAGTCAACTATTATGATATAAAGGCTGTATCAGAGGCTGTTGTCAGTCAAATATTGGTACTAAAATATAAAAGCTGTGAACCTATATATCAATCAAATAAAAGCTAGATATTACAGAATAAAAGCCATACTTTAGTCTGTTAGTATTAGTTAAGTTAAATTTAAACTAGGTCTTGCACAATAAAGATACTTTATGGACCAAAAGAAACTCTATATGACAAAATATTAGTCCAACCTATACCCACAATTCATTTACTTAGTAGCCTGTTTCTTAAAGCCTGGATGTGATAAAAAAAATCTACAACCTGACTTTGGAAGCCAATCAGATTATCAAGAATTACCACATATTTATGTGTGTGTGTGTGTTTATTTATTTATTTATATAACTAAGATTAATCCAAGTAAACGGGACTACTCACTCTCCCAAACTTTTAAAATGTAATTTCTATAAATTGACCAAGCAAGCCTGGTTGCAGAAAAATTAACTTTTATTAATTAACAGCTATTCAAAATAATAAAACTAGTAATAGTAGTTCAGTACAAACATGCAAAATAAAAGTAATAGATATGGTAGAGATGCACGGGTACCTGGTCAGATATTTGGCCCCGGCCGAGTATTGGGCTACCCGGTAATACTCGGCTCTGGCCAAATTTTGAAGTTAGGCATCTAAGCTCTAATCTAATGGCAACTAATGTGGTATTGAAAGTTAGTCAATAATTGGTATAGTTAAAAAAAACGTGTTCCGAGCAACAAACACAGACTGCCCTCTGAAAGTCGAGGATTCATAGAACAACAGGCATATCTTGAGAAGTGGATTTCAAGGGGAAGGTGGGGGTTTTGAGAACAATAGGGGTTAGGGTTTGAGAAATTGGAGCTAGACATTGAAAGTAAAACTTGAATGTTCTGTTGTTGATTGTTCTGTCCCGGTTGACACCCATCCCCGGCTGAAGCTTAGTGGCCAGGTACCAGACCCAGTAATTGGCCATATTTTACTACCCATGCATCCCTAATATATGGTATATACATGCACTCTTAAAAATAAAGGTGAGAAATCTCTGAGAATTATCACATTGTGTTAGTATATAAATGATCTACGAATTGATCCCTTGATACTAGATACTGATACTAGATGTCCTAAAGGTTTGTTTGTTGTTTGTTTATAATTAAGCACAAAGCTACACAATGGGCTATCTGTGCTCTGCCCACCACGAGTATCAAAACCTTGTTTCTAGTGTTGTAAGTCCGCAGACATACCACTGTGCCACTGAGGGGCTGTCCTAAAGGAAAATAATCGATATGATATTATTTTGTTATACATTTAATTATGTTATAGGAATTTGCTGAGTATGGAGATTGCAGAGTGCAATTGATTCATTATCGCCTGTATAAGGAGTTTCAAAATTATTAAATCTGTAAATAGTCAAACAGCCCCATTTAAATGTTTCTGTAATTCTGTGGCAAAGCAAAATGTATTTCTCATACCAAAACTAGTTTACAAAGTTTAAATGTTGAAAGAAGACAAAATTTAATTCTTACCTTTCAGTTAGAAACATCAGCATGCATCAGATCATGAGAGAAGAGTGTAGTGTTGATCTGTAATGTATATATATAGCATCTGCGGTCGCTTAGTGACTGTTTTATATATATATGTCAGAGTTTTAAGTATGTGTATGGGGTTGGATTCTTTTACAGTAGGTGTCTGTGACTTGTTGGCAATAAATTCGAACAATAAATGGACAGCACACAATCTGCTTGTTTTAAAATAATATATTCAAAACAAGTCAAGCATAGGTACAAAAATTCTTTACACTATAGAAGATCACAGTTGTATCTAAAACTTTGAATAATCTCTTTTCTTGTCAAAAGTCTACTCAGGCTGATTCAGTTACTTGAAAATCCAATTGACAAGATAAACTATTTGTTTCTACTCTTATCACAATAGTATGAGTGAATAATTCAATTATGCTACCCTGTGTGTTACCATAGTTGTATTCTGAACTTCAATTAATTGTCTCCTTTTCATCATAGTCCACACAGATGGGTTCAGTTACTTTAGAACACCATTTGACAAGACAAATTATTCTCCTTACCTCTATTAAACTGTGAAACTCACTTTAAAATATCACCCGTTATGGCTAATCACTCACATGTAGGCTAACTTCACGTTTTCTAACTTGTCTCTAACTGAACTTTACTCACTTTTTCTCTACTTGACTTGCTTGGTTGCCTATACTTATACATTGTTCACTGAGGTCTAAAGCATTCTTAAACTAAGTGAGTGACGCTATAACATAACAATACTCATTTAAGGTAACGATAAAAATACCAAAGGTTAGAGTAACTTGGGATCATCAATACTACAACAGTTGAACCACATATGCAGTGTACAACTCTTACCAAGTTATGCAACCAAACTTGTCATAACTATCACGTTAAATAATTACTTTTAACTCTCTTGTTATGAAAAATAAATAATCATTAAATATTAAGTCAAAAAATAAATTAGATAATAATGCTTATGCTAAAAAGTCTTGTATATTCAACAATATAACATCTCATTTACCTCTTCAAAACATCCCCAAGAAAATGTGGTTCCTGGGACCACTCAGAAACATATATGTCACGTAATGTAAATGACGTAACACAAGCACTAAATTGTGACCGTAGGGAAAACAATAAATATTTTTTTATTACTATTTCATTTTTTACTTTGTGTATGTTTGTTGAATCTGTTTTATTAATCATTATTAACATAATTAAAATTTAATTATGATTTTTATAAATATATTTTTCTTGAATTTGAAATCTGCAAATGCTATCAGCTTCTGATTTAATGCACTAAAACAAGTTTGACTTGTTTGTACTTATTTTTGTTGATCTAGAAAGCTATGCTTTAAATACTTAAAATAAAAACAGACTTGAACTTTTACTATTTCAGGAAGAAAAAACTGTTACAAGTTATATGGACAACATATGGTACAACAGTAACTCTGTTGTACCTAAACCAGAGACATTTTGGAAACTAAATGGAAACAGTCATGAACAGGACAATGACCTGGCTGAAAAAAGTAAGAAAAATGGCTTATATTATGATATCATACCAACTTGGTGAACAGTAGTTAATAAACTTATTAAAAGTTGCATCAACAAGTAGGTATTCAACCATGTTTTTTACCTTTAACATCAAAAATAAAAAACTACATTACATTGAACAAATATTTCATCATCATCAGTATGTATTACCCTAGGTATGAACTTTTGTACTACACATCTGTTTTGTATTTAAAAAGCATTAATACTGGTTCTTTCTTTTTAGGGAGTTGTATGTTCAGTAGCAGTAACTACTTTGACTGCTATCCATCCAAACTACCCTTAATTTCATTGAGCAGTACTGATTTACCCCATTTGCTCTGTAAACTTGGAGTGTTAACTTATGTTGATGTCTTTCAGCAAAATGAGGTGAGGAAATAGTTAAAGTTTACATTTATATAGAGATATTTATATGTACCACTCTTTCTTCTTACTGTAAGTATACAATTTTTAAAAATGAGCTGAAATCAATTTTTGTTCTTGCCAACAAACAAGAGGTTTGTTTTTTTGTACTTTATGTATGTTTTTTGCTCCTTCTAGTAATATTCTATAACTTGAAAATATATTATTCTTAGTTTTTTATTTAATTGTTTTACTTTGCTTCTCGATATATGTACTTCTTAATAAATTACACATCAGAAAACAGGCACATCAGAATTTACAAAACATTTCGAAGCCAGTCATAAATGAATAAAGATTGTCTAACACTCAATAAAAATGCTTTAAAATATTATTCAACAATTTCAAACAATAACATGTACTGTACATACAAAATACAACTTAAATTATATTCTGTCCCATTAACATTGGCCAGTCCAATATCATTACTGGCAGAAATACCTGCCCGGAGGGCAGGTATAACTGCTAGTTCTTGTGGAAGGCTGTTGGGCCTGTGGCCTTTTCTGGAATTGTCTGACAGTTCTACTACAATGTACTCATACTTGACATTCAATAATGTTCACCATCCATGAGAAAAAGGATTTTATTGAAATTTTAGTTTAAAAATGAGCTGTCATCACAGAGTAGACTTTATTGAAGTATTTCTTTGTAGATGTAGGTATCAATGAAAGTGCCTTGCTTTTCTGTTTCAACACTCATGAGATTTTCACTAAAGAAAAACAGATAATTTTTTTAAGTTTGTTTTTGATTGTTTTATATTTGAAACTTAATCCTTTTTTAGTAATTTTTATTGGTTAAATCTGAAACATATAATTTTTGTGGAAATTTCAATTGTTTTATTTGTTGCTCAGCTATAAAAATACTTCCTAGTTATAAAAATATTACTCAATTATAATTGGTAATGATCGGTGCAGTAGTTTCTAATACCAGAGTTTTGGACACATACATCACAAGCTCCATTATAATAAGACCACAATCAGTCTTATTAACATTGGCCAGCCCATTATCATTATCACAATCAGTCCCATTAACGTTGGCTAGTTGATAGTGTCATATATCATATTCACTGCATTATATTTGTCATTCTTTCCAAGATATTACTGTAAATAACTCTATATTCATATGTTACTCTTACATTAGTGATGCAAATTATTATTATTTAACTTTATACCATTTGAAGTACTTCACCATTTTGCAATAAAAGATTATTTTATTAAAAGATTTTCTGATAAATGTATCTGGTATTATATTGTGAATAGATAACCTGGAGCCTTTTATTATAATTTCATGTGAGTATTATGCAAGTTGGGATTTCTTTATGGGCAGAGCTGGTCTTAGAGATAATGGGGCCCAAAGTAGAAATAATCTGAGGGGCCTTTCTATCCCAACTTTTAGATGTGAGGAATCTGAGGCTGCAGGAGCTTCCAGAAAGTTCTAGGTCTGAAATGCATTCTGAGCTATGTATTTCAGGCACCTCTTTTTTTTTTAAACATAAATCAGAATCTAGATTTATGCACCTATTTTAATTTGATAAGTATACAAGGAATATTAAAATCCACAATTTTTA